TCCCCCCGGTGGTGACATAAGCTCGCAACGCGCCGCGACAAGGAACAATAACAATTAGTTACGATTGTGGTCGCGCGACGTCGGTGTAACGCCGGGTGTGCGCGGTCGCATTTATTGGCGGGGGCGGACGTCGGCGCTTTTAATCGTGTTTCATTACGAAAGTTCATTTCGCGACGGTTCCACCGTCCCCGTGACGTCAGTGTTGCCTTTTGCATAGTTGATGATACACTTCGGACGGCGTTTCTCGCGCGACTCGAACGAGGTGAAACACGATTTCGTTACTCTGGATTCTTCCTCCCCGAAACAGCCAGGATATTCCTCTCGATACTCTCGATGATTCCGATTCTGGCTCCCCAAGTTCTGAATCTTCGAACCAAGATTTGCAGCCGTGGACGTAAGGACCACCCAGTTAGCCGAAACAACGCGACGTATTAGTGAACCTGCCCCCCTCTCACCCCTTCCCGATATCGAAGAAACGTTCGTATGCAACATCGAAGCGGCAAAAAGACCGTTTCACCGCGACGAAAGGAGCGAGAAATCGGGAAGAGGCTGCGGAACATGTAGGGGGTTGAAACGGCATGTAGAAAGGGAGGAAAACGACGAAGGAGGGATAGAGAAGGTGAATCGAGGAGAGCAAGAGAGATAGAGAGACTGCAAAAGAGAAAGAGAGAGAGTGAGAGTGAGAGAGAAGAATCGTTGAGCGCGGACGGTAGTGGTGGTAGCGGGGGTGCGGAGGAGCCGGGCAAATCCTTTTAAATCCACACAATTGCGACAATGGGGCTTTATTTGTTATCTCGGGGGCCACATTGTGAGTCGCCGTGAACGAACGGACAGATTACGTCGGGCCAGTGACGGCGCAGCGCCGAGAGAGCCCGCTCCTACCGCTCGACGTCGCTCCAAGGGAACGACTTTATCCCCCTACACCCCCTTACAGTTTCCCCCCTCCCCCCTTTTATTTTACGGCCGCCACCCTCCTCGTCGTCGACGTCGCTGCCATCCGCCAGAAAAGCGGATTCGCCGTTACACGTCCGCGTCGAAATTTCCCTCGGATTGCCCACACCGCCCCCTCCTCGCGCTACCCCCCTCTCCGCCCCTCCTCTTCCAGCCCGAGCTCCGGCTCGTTGCCGGCCCTCCTCATTTTCTTTCTTTTCTCGAAATTTTCGATGGAAAAATATGGCCCTTTGTTTGCGCTTTTGTATCGTTAACGCGAGGCGAGAGCTGGACGGAGATAGAAAATTAAATAACCAAGGTATTTTAACGCCGAATATATAAAATAACACAGAAAATAACACCTGTGTTTGCGCATTAAAGATAATAAAAGAAAAAAGAAAATATCAGGAAGTTGCGGGAACGATAATGAGGAGAATAAGAAAAGTGATGTTAAATATGCCAATTGAATTCAACGATACCATATTCCATCTCGAATAATCAAATTTAAGCTTTCCCCGATTATCCGAACAAAAATTAAGCGAGACGAGGCTATTAATTTGCGTTACGTACGAGAGGTCGTTGTAGTTAATTAACATTTACCGACGTGACCACCTCGATCAAGGCCATTACACCGTCCTACGCGCACAATCGCGTTGGGAATTTATTTACCAACGGATTAAGACAACATATAGTGGCCGCATTTACGCTTTCGCCGGAAATTTCAGCAGCATCGCGGAACATCCGCTGGTACCTCCCCCTTTTACTTCTATTTCCTACTTTTTTTTTCCCCCTGCAGGGTGGAATGTAAATCGAGGTCGGGATATTTTGCAACGCGGGCACGAGGTTAGAGCGTGGAATCAGTTTAAATCTTGTTCCCCGAGACGAGATCGAAGAGCGAGAGAGCGGGGATCGTTCTCAAATTTAATCTGCACGCACCTCGCGCGCAAACCCATTCCTTCCCTCTCTCCCCCCTCAAGCCCGAGTTTTATTTGGAATTTATTGATCACCATTAATCTCCCCGGAGACAACGGCACGTCCAAGAAACGTTCATTTTAAGCTCATCTTAGGGAAATCTGATAGATTAAAAAAAAAAATCTACTAGATTAAGTAAAAAAGAAAAATATTTGATCAAGTAAAACCTAGATTAAAACTATTGGATTAAGCGAAATAAGACAGATAAGCACACAAAGTAACGTCATAATTTTCTCGATAATAATAACTCATGATTAAATAATATAGAATTATGATAAATTATTTAATATACAGATTAATTTTCTCCAGTCTTCCTCTTTCTCCTTCTCCCTCTCTCTTCCTCTCTCTCTCTCTCTCTTTCTCCCTCTCTCTCTTTCTTTCTTTCTTGGCTAATAAAAATTTGTTACGTTTCTCAGATACTGCAAAATATGTAAAAAATGGGATACAACTCGTTGATCGCAAAATGAATCAAGCTAAAATTAATCACGACACGTTACTTTCCTTCAACGACAAATATAACTGTTATCTACGGGCTAAGGATATTGTTACCTTGAGAAGCAAATTACAAGACCGTAATCGAGACAATACATCGTACAACAACGAGATATTTCTTAAAGTTTTAATGAAACGATCATTACGCGCGCTGATTATTATCGCAAAATTAGTTTGCGTCTACCGTGAGATTACGTTCGCGGGGATCGCGAGATGTTACTCAAATGAGGCTTATAACATTGCAGGACGTTGCGAGGATTCTAGAAGAAGACTCTCTCGCGAGATTACGCGGACCTCCTCTCTCATTCGAGGGGGCCCCCGTTTAAGAGAGGTGCGCCGGAGATCGAAAAATCGGCGCGGGTTTCGCCGGGCTAAATAAACTTATAACGGTGATTAAATATTCAGGGTCGGTAATAAAGAGCCGGTCTCCTCCCCCGCCTTATAAATACCGGCCCCGGTCTCGCTCTAATTCAAGCCCGAGCTTAGCCCAGCACGCCCCTAAGCTTCCCGGCAACAATGTACCGTATTATGAAGTACGAGGTGATCGCGCGGGACTCTTCCCCGTCGTTTTCGATCCCTACGGTACCGCTGATGCGGAGCCCCCTCTTCCCCCTCTCCCCGACCAACGCAATCATTTCGCTGGAGTGTTCGCGACTAAAGAGCAATTAGTGCCGTTAGGGAGGAAAGAATCGCCTGTCGATCCGCAAGGACGTCGCGAATTATTACCATATTCTTCTCATTTCGTATTCCCGAGCGTGTCGGGGAGAACAGAGGCTCGAATCTAATAATAACAGCAATAATTATATAATAATTAATTATATTACCGACGTGCGATTATACGTTATACATATATAATCGCAAGTCTCACCCTGCAAGTTCGCGTGTATTCAATTTCTGTCATGGATGGAATAGCGCGTGAGATAAACAATGTTGTTGACGCAACAAAAAAATTAATTACATACAAATCCGTCGTCAAATATTTGGTCAAAATAAATAAATAACTGTAATTAGAGGTAAAATAAAGTTCTCTCTGTTTACTTTTGCTTTCGATGCTGACGAATATGAACTACCGTTTGAAATTATTTTGATAAAGTTTAGGATTATCAATTTTATGCGAAATAATTAATTGTGATTAAACATAATAATAATAATGTAATACAATTCACGGGCTTACCTTAATCTCTTGGCCTCGTCAATGAAGGGTCGCTTCTCGCCCTCGCTCAGCAGTTTCCATTCGGCGCCGAGCCTCTTTGAGATCTCCGAGTTGTGCATTTTCGGATTCTCCTGTGCCATTTTGCGACGCTGACCACGCGACCACACCATGAAGGCGTTCATCGGCCGCTTGATATGCTCGTTATGCAGGCTCTTGGACGACATCTCCATAAGTCCCTCTCTTTTGGTCTGATCTATTTCTTTACCACGCTAACTTACGGCATTTCTCATAGATCGGGGTCGATAAAACAATCCTTCGTACGCGAATTCCCGTTATCAATGTTTCTTGGTGGTTTTACTTCGGAATGCCGAGGATATTTTTAATGATATTATTTCACGTTTCCTTTTTTTACCCGTTGGAAGACCCCGTTCGTCAGACGTTTCCTTGATCTTGTCGACTCTAACGGGATTGTATATTCTAGTATTAGTACTTCCGACTCGACAGGGCCCGACTTAGATGGGATCTGTTTTAAGAGGTTTTTCCAACGGATCGCCGAGCATAGCCATGTCCTACACGGTGTATCGTCCGAGCAAACAGAAGGCCGGCTTGAGTTAATTGAGATCAAATAGATTCTTTTCTACCTTTAACCTTTCCAATCGATTCACCCTTCAATTGCCAATCCGCTTCACACCCGAATAATTCACTACACTAAGACGATGTCAACAATGACGATATCTTTCGAAGCTCGAAGAAATAGTAATTTGAGATTTTCTTATGTCATTTGAGAGTTCGTTCCTTCGATACTCGATACTGGTTTAGCGAAGGTCCCTTCCTCAGAAAGTCTTTATTATCCGATGGATCTTGAAAGCCACTCTCGCGACCGACGGTAACGTTAACGTTATACTTTCAGTCCTCGGGGTACTTTGCAGCCCGGAAAAAGAATGGAGCATTTTCCAGCAGCCTGCAATGAAATCCTCAGAAATATGAAAAATACGAGTGTCTTACGCGATCGTCGACCGCCAACAGGAATAAATCTTAAATCGTCCAACCGTCGTCCGATTCATCTTCGGAAATGTCGTACGATCGTCGGTCAATCACGGCCCGCACGAAGGACTCCGCGACTTTCCGGTGTCCCGTTCTTGAGGAGCCGCATGACAGTTTGAGAAGAACGTGACTCTCCAGTCGTGGGTTCCAGTCTTCGGTCTTTCCGTTATCACAGTACACCTCTTCCTCGACGGCTCTTCTGCGGAATCCCGCGCCCCCGTGACGCGTACCAGACGGAGGCTTGCTTCTGACGGACACGAGTCCCTTTGGCGCACTGACAGGAGCGCCGGATCCCTCAGGAACTCCACGGAGCGCCGTGCATTTGGGACGCGCCCGCGGGTGTCTGGGGTTGCCGGAGTGCCACTCTGTCCCCGAGAAACGTGGGGAAGAACAGGGTGGCGAGCAAATCGGATGCGACTTCGCAGCTCCCACCACTTACCGCGGCTAACAAACGGTCGCGATTGGCCGTCACACCGACATGGCGGCCGAGAACGGATACGCGCGCTTCGCGCAACAGGTGGAGAGAGCCTATCTCACTGGGTTTCTCTCTTTCCCGCTCGGCTCCTCTCCCTGTCTCACGAAGACAACGATACGGCTGTGAGGTGTGGGTGCGTTTGCCGCGCGGATTATCGCACCGCCGCCGACGTCACCGACCACCACTACCACCGCCGTCGCCGCCTCGGCTGCCTTTCTGACCTCACCACCTTCCGTCGACGGTCAGCCCGGTGCATCCGGTTCATTGATACCTCCGAAAACAATAGCGGACGCGGGGGAAGGCATCGACAAGTGATTGCGAGATTTTCACCCCCGGAACAGATGCGTGATCTTCGCGCTTATAAATGGATGCACGGAGCTGGCTGGCCCACAACTTGTCTTTGTATCGCAAGAATCCAATCAAGTTGTAATTATGCACGATTCGTGATACGTAATCTCATATATAAGAACATTAGCGCGTCCAAAACTGCACGGGGAAAATATTGTAGCAAAAATCACCACGCTTTGTAATGGCCCATATCGGAATTATGACTGAAATTGTTATGTGTATCGTAATCTTTAACGACGTGTAAAATGAAATACATCATGAAAGATGACGACATATATCGTAATTTATAATTAGTTATAATTCCGATATGGTTCATCATTACGAAATTTTGTGATAATTTTTACTATAACTTTTTACTATTTTCCCCGTGCGCGAATTTGAATAATCTTAGCATAAGAAAATAAGTAAGAAATTACAAATTTCGCGGATAGCGTATAATCTTGTATTAATTTTGGGGATAGAAATTCTCAAAGGCACGATTAGGCACGATGTTTATACGGTTGAATTATCGGTAAAATTTTTTTGTAATTCTTTCGAGAGATTATATTTGTCTTCTTCTAACTATAGATATAGATATAGATATAGATATGACTATAGCTAACTATAGTCATATCTATATAAGATATAGTTAATTATAGATTGTCTAGTTACGTTAACTATCTACTCTGTCTCATGAATTAGTGCACCTATCAGTATTTGGGTACTACACAGGTAGTGCTCGGATTTTATCTGGGTGTTCAAATTGTTGACAATTTTACGCGATTACACACGATTATTATAAAGATTAAGTATACTAAGATTAAGATTAGATAGATTTAGATAAGGTAGACTGAGTGAACTTAAGTTGAACCATAACGTAAGGTCATGTTGACTATGCCGACAGGAAGAAATATTTATGTCCTAACATTATCATTTTCGCGAACTTTTTTCCACTTTTTCTCTCACAATAAATACATAAACAAAACACATAGCTTTCCAGCCAAACTTGACTTCATCTGCTTTATTTGAGTATTGTTATTAATATCATAATACCTTCAGAAAATAAACAGAAGCTGTTTCGAAAACAGTTGCTACGAAAATCAATAATACATAGCAGACAGATGTCGTCCGGATATTTCTCGCGACTTTTGGTCTTTGATATCCAACTTTCCGAAAACTTTTATGCTGATAACGTTAATAACGATACGCAAGTATAATTATTATAGAAGTAGCCATACAATAGTGATTATAATATATTAATATAACATAATGCTTTGCGATAATAAGGAAACACGAGAATAAAAAGAAATACAATAATGAAAAATCCAAAACGTGAAGAATCAAACGAAGACACGATGTGACATCGTTGATGCGTTCGTCGATCGGCTGCCATACTTTCGTCATCAGACTGAGAATACCTTTCTTCGCTTTGTTCGTCACAAAAATACACAGGCGGTGGAAGGCGAGAATAGAAGACCAGGTCTCGTAATAAATGTTATCAGTCGCGGTAGTGTCTTGTCGTAGCGCGGGAGGGAGGAAGGTGGCTCGGGGTGCAACGACGGGGGAGGGCTGGAAGACGTCTCGAATGATAAGGCGATAAAGAGAGAAGGTATAAAACGAGACAAGGGGACTGGTGTGCAAGCGACAACATCTCCCGCTCGCCATAAAGAGGGGAACCGTGCCGTCGCCATTGAATTTCCGGAAGGCGCAGAAATATTCATCTGCCGCAGAAAAGCGAATCTGTGTCACCGCGCAGAAAGAAGAGACGTCGAGTCGCGCGACGTTCCGCGAAAAAGAATAAAAGAAATGAATCATTTTTTTTTACGCACAAAGGTGTAATTCCGCGTGGCTGAGGGGAAACGAAGAAATTGGACGAACGCGCGAAATTACGTGACGTGACATTCGCGAAGATAAGACGTATATAAGAAATAATTAAGTGAAAAAATTGGTAGAAAGCGGTAAAAACATTAGAATTGAGAATATTACGTATGCTATTTATGTATTTATGTTCAATTGGGACAATTTCTACGAGATAATTTACATACTCGAGTTTCCCGAGGTTCTTCGAAACAATCCGGAAGTGAAGAAACGAATAAGTCAAATCGTAAAACCATTAAACAAAATTTTTACTTTACAAAATTAAAAAAAATTTTTTGATTGCAAATTTTACTTTGTAAAATTTTTTAAAACACTTTTACGATTTGATTTCTTTGTAAAATTGAGAAGGAAAAATGGCGAAGCGTTGAGAGAACGTTTGGAAGGAAGAATCATCGTATGATTGTTTGTTACTTTCGAGGCGCGTAGACGCTCTTTTTGAGGACAAAACGCGCTTGGATTTGCGGTCGATTTACGCGACAAGGAACAAATGCCGTTACCGCTGTATCTCGGGGAGTATAATGAGGGATCACTTACTACGGAGCGCAGATAAGCGCGCGCGATCGACTGTCACGCGGTCCCATTATTAACACGCACAATAAATTCGCTCTCCAGCGATGTCCGTCAATGAGCGAGATACAGCGATCGACTGTCGTTCCGGGGGTCCTTTATCGTCACTTCGTCACACGTTCTGTCATTCACGGGGCGTGAATGCGCCTTTTATCGCTCATCGCCGACAAGAACCGACAAGAAGCGACGAGGGGACGACGGTGTCATCCCTTTCTTTTTTTTTTTCGAGCAATTCAACGCCAAATTAACGCAGGAACCCCCACGCTCGCTGCTCAAAATAATTAGGGGTATCACTTTTTCAAGTATCCATATTGTTCATTCGGTAAGTTTCCCGAGAGATACTCCCCAACGACACTTGGCGATTGATCAACGGAAGATCGCAAGAAATCATCGGTTATTCGCATATTATCATATGTAATAAAAATTTTATTATATTAGGAGATGTTCTCACCTGTTTCTCTGTGTGAGATTTTTCCTATAGAGTTTGTGCAAACTCTCAAATACATATAACTTCGCTTGCATTTACATGATTTTCTTCAATTTTACACCGTGAATTAGATCATTCGGCCGGTTAAGGATCGAATTCGGCGATCCGAAATTCGCGAGTCAGGGATGGGTGGCAAGGAGGACATTTGCAAGGCACAAAGCACGGCAGGGCGGACTAAGTGACTTTTCACGATTTCAACGTCACGAACGGATAGAATGGAGTGGTAGTGGTAGTAGGCGAGGGACAACATTTCGTCTTACTCTCCGTTACGGCCCCCTCCCCACCCCCCTCGTCGAGCACAAGGGTGCCACGCGACCGCTGATTATACCATTCATCGACTGGCACGGTCCGAAAGAGGGTTGCGAGCGTAAACGCCGTAACATCTAATGTACCTCCTCCTCCACCCTTCTTGTTTCCCGCCTACTGTGACCCTGAATGCTCGCTCATCAATG